GTTATGAAGAACGGCCGTCCTGAGAAGTGGAACAGTGCTCTGAGAATTTGTATAATTCGTGGAATTGGACTCTCTCTGTTTGGAAGTTGTATCCATGGGCGCTTTGCAAAGAACTTGAGAAGAGCTTCTTTCTTCATCTCCTTTATGTCGTCTACAGGAGTTTTTTCTGGTATTTGAATTGGAATTCCGGTTTCAATTTCGATTTTCAGCGCACCTCTTCCAGACAACCAGAAGCCGAGGGACTTGTTGGCTTTGTCCTTGGCCAAGTACTGCTTAACAACTTCATTTATCTCTATAAGGTAAATTGCCTCATCTAATGGCTCGACCTCGTCCATTGCTACTGTTTCAGAACTAGTCTTGTACTTTTTCAGAACAATACTTGTACTGTTTCAGAACTAGTCTTGTACTTTTTCAGTACAATACTTGTACTGTTTCAGAACTCGTCTTGTACTTTTTCAGAACAATACTTGTACTGTTTCAGAACAATACTTGTACTTTTTCAGAACAATACTTGTACTTTTTCAGAACAAGACTTGTACTTTTTCAGAACAAATTTCCCGTAAAAGCTCTCAATTTGTGAGAAAAATTTTCTGTTTCAGAACAAGACTTGTACTTTTTCAGAACAATACTTGTACTTTTTCAGAACAATACTTGCACTGCTTCAGAACAATACTTGTACTTTTTCAGAACAATACTTGCACTGCTTCAGAACAATACTTGTACTTTTTCAGAACAAGACTTGCACTGCTTCAGAACAATATTTGTACTGTTTCAAGACAATGTCCGACGTCCCACCAACCGAGCCCATTCCCAAACCAGAGGAACCTAAAGCACCAGCCCCTCCACCAAATTACTACCAATTTCCACCTCAAGGTTACTACCAATTTCCACCTCAAGGTTACTACCCACCACAAGGCTTCCCGAACTACCCTCCTCAGCCTATGCCTTACTTCCCCAACCCTTGGATGTTCCAGCAAGCTCCACCCCAGCAATTCCAATCTCAATCCCAATCGAAGAGAGACCAAGAGTTCGAAGAAGGTCTGAACCGTTTACGCAAAGAGTATGCTACAGCCCTTATGGAAGATGACAGGCTTTCAGTCTCTTCCCTAAGGTCGACCGATTCGACTCGTACCACAGATTCGGTTCGTGACCGTGAAGACTACCTCAAGCAGTCTGAGAGACTCTTCATCTTACAGCCATTTACAGTTGGAGCTCTCAAGAACATGCGCAATTACGAAGGTCAGACACCAGCTGGAGACCGCAAAACAGACGTACTCGCAAGAGCCGTCCAACTGGTCAAGACAAAGACCGAGATAGTCGACTTCATTCTTGCAGCTTGCCCATACAAGTAAAAAAATAAACAATTACGAGTTAAACTTTTTATTCTTTCTTTTCTGAGTTGTTTAGAGCTGGTTTCTCTTGTAGGAACCTTTCGTACTCTTCCATGGTCATGTAATTGCGAATTTGGTACGCAATTCCAGGTTCGTTGTTTTTGAACCTTACGTATGTAACGCTTCCATCCTCCTCAGGGAAGTAAGCTGCTAACATCTGACCAAGTTTTCTCGGTGACTCGGAGCTCATAAAAATGTCACTTTTTAAACGTTAAGTTTTTAGTCTTATTTTACCCTTTGTTTACCCTTTGTTTACCCTTTGTTTGTCAAGGTAGTATTGGAGTGCAATTTCTCCAAATTCTCTGTGTCGGAGTTCTTCAGCATTTTCCAAGGTGTCCCTGGAGAACTCAAAGAAGTTGTCAAGAACATACTGCCATGCTGCTCTTCTGAGTTCGTCGGTATTTTGGAAGTGTTGCACCTTCGAGTCTTCGGACATGAAAAAATAACACTTTTTCTATTAAACCGTTTTGGCATTTCTCATGAGTGAGTATAGTTCTGCCGAACCATTGGAAGAGAAGAAGTACCCTTGCTGGCAAAAGACAAAAATAGTTGCCTTAGTTGTCATTGCAATTGTACTCGTAATTGAATTCATTGTACTTCTCTTCACGTACATAAAACTCAGCAATGGTATTTGCTTTAAGAAGCTACCATCTTACTAAGACTAAACACTTAGATTTTTCAAGCTTGACTTTTTACAATTTGAATTTTGTTGCTGAATTCAGTAAAAATAATGTTTAGGTGAAGAGGTGAGATCTCACCTTTTTTCTAACCTCTTGAATTTTCATGAATTTCCTTAAGATAGAAAAAATAAAGTTAGTTTTATTTTTATTTATTTTTTTATCCGGAATATAAAGACAGATATGTCAACAACAGAGAACACAACAACAGTTATAGTCCATGAAGCTATAAATGAAGAATATGAATACATACAGTATAACAAACAACTCCGTCTCATTCGTTCAGTCAAAGACGATATGTACCAAATGAAAAGTATTTTGACAGCATGTTTTGCTCCAGATACTAAGAAACCACAAGACTGGTTTAGGAACCAAAGCACTATTGAACTATTAAATGAAGCTGAAAATTCGACTACGAGAAATCCCGTAGTCGCAAAAACTCGAGTGGGAGAAAAACCCCAGTCGCCAAAACTCTATGAAAACAGTGAAGAACAGCGACTACGAGAAAAACCCCAGTCGCCAAAACTCTATGAAAATCGTGAAAAATTGCCAAATGGTTTGAGAGGATATTATGTACATAGACTTCTTGTAAATGCTGTTGCAATGTGGGCTTCGCCTCGTTATGCTTGGTATATTTACAAACTTCTTGACGAAATTCATAGACAAGAACGTGAAGAGCTAGAGAACAAGCTTGAAGCAAAAGACAAAAGCATTCAGAAAAGAATACCACGTTCGGTACCAAAAGGAAAGGAAAAGAACTATAAGTATATGATTTATACTGAAGAGATGGAAAATGAAGAAGACAGAGATATGGTTATGTTGCATTTAGTCAGAAGAAACAACAAAAGCTTTTACGACCTTGCTAAGATTTACAAATCTGACAGAAATTGGTTCTATCGCGAAAACTTACCGATTTCAATGACCCCAAATGAAGATGTGAAACAAATAGTTCAAGATACGTTACCTCAAACACACTATGATATGAAAGGTTGTACAATTCTTACCTTCAAAGAAGACTTACCATTGTTAAAGGAAAAAATAACAGAGTATTTTGACAACTTCAAACAAGCAGAGTAAATGAACTCTTTATTTTTCAAGCTTGACTTTTTACAATTTGAACTTTGTTTGCGTAGATATGAATTCTGAAAGAAGTATGAGGGTCTTGTATGACTTTGTACTTCTCCCAGAGTTCATGTCTGTCAAACTTACCTGCCATGGACTCTTTCATAAGTTCCATGAAATCGTCTTCGGACAATCCAGGGAAAAGTATTATGTCAGTAAATATTCTTTTAACATCCTTACTTAAACTCTTTGCTGTCTGTACACAAATGACAACTGAGATGTTAAAGTGTCTGAGCTTCTTAAGAATTCGACACATATCTTGTTCTCTGTTCTTTAACAAAGGATGAGAGGCGAAATCATCTAAAATAAGAAGACATCTATGAGGGTAAGTCTTCCAATCGTACGATTGCAATTTCTTCGAAATGTATTCTATCTCTTTCTGTTTGTTTCTGAAGTGTTTCTTCTCTAATATTCTCTGCATTTCCTCATTAGGGTCTTTAAACTTAGAATTTATATACTCATTTATAGCATTATACTTCAAAACTCTTCTTTGGTACTTCTTTATCCAATCTAACAACTCAGTATCCTTTATACATACTAACTTAGACTTCTTTATAATATCTTTGAACGAATTGACGGTTTGGTCAAATTGACCAGAAGTACTACAAATAACAACTAACTCATAGAATGGGTTCTTCTCATCTAGTTCTTGTTGTTGTGCAGCCATTTTAAGATAAGTGAAAGTCTTACCCGACCCAGGTGGTGCAATTAGACCTGTTATACCATTCTGAGCAAATAAGAACTTGTCATGTATAGGCTTTATCTGAGCATTTTCTAACTTCTTCTTGTTCTTCTTCAAAACATTCTCAAATTTCTTGTCAATGTCAGCAAACTTTTTTTCTAACATATTTTTAGAAAAATTAAAATTTTTATCTTTTAGAAAATGTCTAGCGATTTCGCTATCTATATTCGAGACAAACTTTTTGACAGCAAAACATCTGTCGACCATAAAATCTTACATAGTGTAAACAAGAAAGGTGAATTTGTTCTAAAGTTCTGTTTCTGGGAATATGACAAGAACCATAAAACATTACAAAGAGCAGTCTTAAAATTTGTCAATGACAGACTTGTTGACAGAGATGACACCGATTGGAAAGATGAAGTCCAACAAAAGTTCTTAGAATGCAAAGAAGACACATGCGCTGTTCTTGAAGATGAAATAGAAAACAGAATAGATGAGCTATTACAGGACAAAGAACTTTTACAGAAATATGGTTCTGAGAAATTTGACATAACTCCACCAGAAAAGAAGAAGAAAGGAAAGAAAGAGAAAAAAGTAGAAGAGAAGAAAGAACCTGAACCAGAGCCAGTTCCAGAGAAAAAGAAATTTGACATGTAAAAATAAAATTTTATTTTTAGAACATTTCTGGGTCAATGTCAATGTTCTCTTCCTCTTTAGGAGCAAACACTGGCTTAGACTCTAAAATCTTTTTACCCAATTTACCTTGAACTTCAACTATCTTAGACTCATAATATTCATAGTCGTCTGTCTTCTTTGGTTCATAAGGTATAACAAGTTTGTATGCTTTGCCTTCTTTAAGGTTTGAGAACCTTCTGTCAAAATTTTCTTTGACTGTTAACAAACCTTCTATGTCTAAGTCTTCAAATTTCGCACCATTTTTAGTCACAATAGCAAACTTAACTGGTTCGATGTTCCAAACTTTGTCAAATGTAGACTTTTCAAAATGGTAGAAGTAAACATTCAAATATGTGAATGGGTCTAGTTCTTCTTTGACTTCTGTCATGTACTTATTTACTGAGATGAATTTTGCCATCTTTTCTATCGGATAAAAAAATATTTTTTTAAAATTTACTCAGAAAAATTTTTCTTTGTATATACACCATTCTGAACATCTAAAAGACTTTTGACATTTGCCAAGAATGTTCGTTTAGAAGCTGCCATATAACCATATTCTTGACAATATTGTTTATACGAATCGTACAATGACCTTTCATCTAATGACACAAAGTCAGTTTCATCTATGAACAGTTCATATACACTCTTGTTTGCTTCTAACAATGTTTGTCTCTCTTCGGTATGTGGAATTTGTCTTGGATTGAACTTAGAAATATCTAATGTCATGAAATATGAGAACAAGTGGTTGTAAAAGTCAGATGTCAAAGTTTCTGCTAAGTCGTCAAAATATTCTGTATCTTGCATATGAGAATCTGACGTTCTGACAACTACATATCTTCTGTCAGAACTTTCTAACTTCATCGGAACAACATTGTTTGAAACCATAATGAAGTTTGCAACATTTTCACAAACTCTTTGGTCTTTATACTTTCTTTCAACAACTCCAACTTTGTCTGTTATAAGACTCTTCAAAGCATCTGAGTTCAAAACTTTTGTTGTATCTATACTTTGAAGTTCATTGCAAACTATAAGTTTCATATTCTCTATTGAGGAGTTAAATTTACCGCAGATGTTTTCTAAGTTTGTCATATTCGGATTCGAATAACCTTCTAACAGTTTGCATAAGATATCTGTAAAGAATGTGTTCTTACCTGTTCCTTGTTTTCCAATTATAATGAGAGCAGTTTCATTTTTAGCACTTGGATGTTGTAAGATGTTTGCAAACCAACATAAGATATACTCATAAACCTTTTCGTTTCCATTGCATATAATTTCTTTGACATGGTCTAACCAAGCTTCTATAATATTTTCTTTCCATTCTACTTGTTCGTATTTATATCCAGTGAAGATAGAATAGAAGTTTGGAGAAGGTGTATAAAACTTTATACCACGAACTGAAAAATCTTCTAACTTTGACAATAAGATATCCCAAGCATCTAACATCTTCATTCCAACTTGTACAACTTTTATTTTCTTAAGTTTCTGTCTACATTCTTGTTCAGACACTATTGTTGCTCTTGGTTTGTTAAAGACAACATCCCATTCTTTCATAACATAACATTCTGGGGCAGAGTCGACATAAATGACTAAACGTTTCAAATTCTCGACTGCTTTGTTATAGTCTCGAAATGGACACATATTTCTGAATGCTTGGAAGTCATAAAAATCTGAAACATCTATTCTGTACATTTTTATAAAAATAAAAAAAAATATTTTTTTATTCTTGACTTTGTTGTTCCATTTGTTGCATTTGTTGTTCTTGAGCTATTTGTTGTTGAAGTTGTTCTTGTAATACAATACTTTCACCAGTTGCATCTTCCAATTCGAAACTTTCTGCCGTCATTGACAAATACATAGGACATAAAAGTTTTACAGGAACAAAGTTTGCGTCAACTAATGTCAACGTTATACTTGCCAAAGTGTTTGAGTTCACTAAGGTTGAAAATTCTGCATTCGAATGAACAATAGGCAAACCAGCAGAGAAAGTATTGTTTATACGCATAAGTATCTTTTGGTCATAATAGTTTCTGTCGACATTCGAATAACACTTTGAACCTAAGTTTGAAACAATATATAAGATTGGTGTGCTTAATGTCAATGGAATAGACATTCCTTGTATGACACCTTTTCCTGTTATAGGAAACTGTTGGTAGTAAAAACCAGAAATAAGTTTTGTATTATAGCTCATATCGTTTATAGTAAACTCAGTCGGACATCCAAACATAATGAAACCTGCTCTAGTTGCAGCACATGTTACACCCGTCCTTAAAGTATTAAATAAGTCAACAAAACCTGTTGGTGGTATATCTGAGAAAGTATCTTCAAAGGAGTATTTTTTACCATTCACAACAATAAAGTCTTCTGGTGTCAAAAGAGCAAAACAGGCTTTAGTCGTCATTGTGTTTAAGGTTAGTTTACAATATCGTCCTTGAGGACTTTGTAAGTTTGTTGTTATAGAATTATATGACTCAGGGTTTTTAGTCGTAATAGTATAAACCATTATGTCTTCTGCCATTTATATATATTTAAAAGTTTTTCTGAAAGTGGAGAAGAACTTCATCTAAACTTTCACATGGCGTTTCTTGAAGTTCTCTGTCTAAGAAGTTCAAATATTTTGTAAAGACATAGAACTTTCCTTTGTCTACACGAACAAACAAAACAGGGTCTTTCATATCGTTCAAAAGTGTGTAAAGTCCTTTACATGAAATAAAGTCTATATTATTTTTCTTCAAACATCTTTCAAGAAGTTTTGACATTTTTACTTAGCAAATAAATTTTAATGAAATGTTGTGGTCGTCAAATATTTTTATAACGTCTGGGAAACTATATTTAAGTTCAACGTTTCACCTCCTTTCATAACGTATATCTTGTCAATGACATTATATGAAACACCACAGCAACTAATGTCGGGTTCTATTTCTTTGATGTTTATATCGTCTGCCTCTGTCAAAAGTTTCAATAGTTCTTTCAAAACTTCATGAGGTGCAATGACATATGAGTTCACTTTTACAGGGTTGTGTTCGACCAAGTTTAACATTATACTTAAAGCTTGACAAATCTTCTCCTGAGTTTGAAGTTTGTCTTTCAGTTGTTGGTAGTCGTTTCGAATATCTGCAACAGAACTTAAGTCTCTGCTAACTTCAGGATATGTTGGTTGTTCTTTTACAGGAACAATTGTTATACCATCTTCGTCTTCGTATGGTTTCCCCACTTCAACATCTCTGTCTTTGACATTGACAACAACACTTTGACTGTTTGTTTGAGTTGGTGAATTTAACTTCACATCTGCCACCGCCATTAAACCTTTTGAAACACTTACGCTTCTATTTTTCGGAAATGACATTTTACTTAGAATAAAAAGATGGACGTATTGAGTATCTCTTCGAATTGAAGCAAAACAAGGTTTATACTCACAAACAATACAAATACATTGACAGAATAGTTCTTTACACAAACAATGGAAAATGTTATAGAATAGCAGTCTTTGCTGAACCTAAATATTTTCATAAAGCAAAGAAAGTTGGTATAACCGAGATGGTGAAAGTTCTTGACGTTGACAAAAATATAACTTCAAAACTGACGATATTACTAAAGGAAAGTTTATAATACAATATTATGTCAAAACTGGCGTACTGTCAATATTTGACGGAGAGAAGTCAGTTCAAGAACAACTTACTGACCTGCTGCCAAAATCTGCTCGATGGAAGCTGTCGTTATACCAATCTGAGGAGCCCCAGCAGGTTTCATCGAACGAATCTTCAAAAGAGCATCTTCCGTGAAAAGTGCTATTGGTTTTGTAAACTTCTTTGCTTTCAATTCATCTGGACCGTCTCTGTCACCAGTATATTGTATTTGTACAGTACCAACAGTTGAAATACCACCCATAAAGTCTTCTGAGTCAGCAAATGGAATGCCAAGCCAAAAGTTTGAACGGTCTCCATTTGTATATTGAGTTTTTTGACCTCCTGTATGAGTCCATACTTTCACATATGGCATAATAGAACTTTGCATTTCAGGGTTAATGGTTGTTGTGAAGTTGTTGTTAAAGTTCATAGCATCTAATGTCAAGTTGTATGACCTCATATCCTCAACTGTAGAATATTCTTCTCTTGGATAATATTTGCCATCTATGTTTATATGATATTTAATACCAGGGTTGTAGAAACAAGAATAGTCATTTATAGTTCGTCTGAACAGTACAAACATAGTATCTGCATGTTTCATTGCAGTTGTTAAAGCAATATCTGTTCTTGCACCTGGGTCAGCACTTTGGTTTCCAACTTCACCTGCAAAGTCTTTGACAGATATTTGGTGTATAGGGAACATAAGTGGAACTGCAATATATTTGGCAGCTAAAGCATTTGAAATATCTGGGTCCAACATATAAAGGCAAGTCTGCTTTCTATTCTCTTGCATTCAAACTGTTCGCATGTGAACTTAACTGGGTCCCAAGCAGTTCCAGCAGCATTGAAATAATAGTTTACTTCAGTGTTGAAGTTTGAGAAACCAAAGTCTAAGTCAACTTTGTCTTTGCAAAAGTCGGCGAATGACGTTTGATTTGTTCCCTTTACGTCTGTAATAGTGAATGGGTCTTGTGTTGGTGCAATGACTAAGTTATTTTTGCTTGGAGTAAGTTCGATAGAAATTTTTCCTGCCCAGTTTGGCAAGTATCTTAAAAACCTGAAGATGAGGAAAGATGACAAAGGAACTCTAAGTTTCAGTTTTACTTTGGTTACTGCTGCTGCAGTTTGTCCAGAAAGGTTAACATAAACTCCTGGAACGTTAGGGTCAAGTCTTCTTATTTTCTCAATAGTTGCATACTGGTCTGTTTGTTCTCTAGCTTGTGGTTGTACTGAGTTTCTCAAAGCGAACCATTCATAGTTTGCCCATGTTACTGTTTGAACTAAGTCAGAGTTAGAATATATCTTATATCCCATGAAAACTTCTGGAGCATATTGGTATCCGACATAGAAAATTCCATTGCAACCTTTCTTGTCAGACAACTTGGCAGAAGGTTTTATTTCAATGTCTTGTTCCACGTATAAGAATGAGTTGTCAATAGAAATAATATGAAACCTGTCGCAAGCAATATCTACTGTTGTTGAAGAACCTTCTCCAAACTCACCTACGTTTCCATAAGAAACAGCAGTTGTATATTCGTAAGTTCCAGGAACTATTTCTGACCTTCTAATGGCATTGTCGCATTCGTTATACCATTCAGAAACATTTCCGTTCATGGCATCCAAAACTGTTGGCGTTATATTCTGAGCGGCGTACATTTCATATGGGTAAAAATATAGAATAGTTGGATTTATATGTCATAATAGAACCCACTCGTACCAAGCTTTACTTTCTTCCTGACTGAGTTTTGTTGCATCTTTGCCTCATGTTCACCTAGTATGTTGTAAATTTCCCATGTCCTTTTTGCCTTTTGGCTCTGGTCGCCCATCTCAGGTAACCTATATCCTAGAAAGATTTTGTCATAGTTTGTATTTGAGTCTTCGCGTATTGTTTGCATGACTCTTTCCTGAGTTTCCGGTTCAAGCTCTTCAAACAGAGCTTGTCCATATGGAATAAGGTCGTTTCCAAATATATGTTTTTGTAGCCATTCTGGTTTTCTTTCCATGTAACCAATAATATCTTTTGTGAATGGGAAAGCTTCTACCCAATGTTTTAGTCTTGCGTCATTTATTTCTGTAGTTGGTTTTATTTTGTCAAGGAACATGTTTTTCAATACTAACATTTCATTTGGTACTGTCCATTTGAGTTTTCTTAAATATTCATCCCTTTTCTGTTCGTTGTCTGCAAAGTAAGTTTTTATGACATTTTGCAAACTTTCGTTTGCAAGGTCATGTACAATAGGTTCTCTTCCTTCTCTCTCCCTAACTCTCTTTCTAAACTCTTCACCAAATATACCATCTCTATGGCTCTGTGTAGTTCTTTGAGATAAATGTTCTAGAACGTCAGGTGTTATATTTCCATCAGCCATGTTCATTTCATACTGGTCCAAAATATCTGCATGTTTCATATCTTTCAATGGCATTAAAGCCGCGCTGAAAATACCAGCTATATCTCGTTCACCATTCACTTCCATTGCGTCTACAACTTCTTGGAATTGTGGTTGTAAGTTTATGAACCACCTATCCGGATTAGCTTTATGACCCCATCTCATTGTAGTTCCATCGTCTGCAGAAACAAAAGTAGGTTTGTTTCCATATTGGTTAGGTTCTGAATGAACTTTAAACAATGTTTCATTTCTATATGTTTTGGTGAAATTTAACCTTTTATTTTCACCGAGTTCATCCACAGATTGAACGTTATATGCTCGTGAGTAAAAAGGGTTATTGTATTTGCGTACATTTTCTTTCAGTACTTCCATTCTTTGCTGAATATTTTCATCTGATGTTGGAGTCTTTTGTATGTCGGCGAACATTTTTCGATATTCTTCTACTATGTCAGCCGAATTTTTCTTAGACTCTTGGAAAGATTCCATATTCTCCGCATACTCTTGTTGAGGGTCAAGATTTTTCGGCTGTTCCAAATCTTCATCTAGTTCTGTGAAGTTAGTTTCCAAAGGAGTGACTTGTTCGTTTCCTTCAGGCTCTTCTAGCTGTTGTTGCTGAACTATTTCTTCCATGTCTGGTTGTATCTGAACTTCTTCCTGTGGAGTTTCTTGTACCTCATCTGGTGGCATTTCATATATTCCGAGACCGTTTTTAACAAGTTCCCTATTTAAGTCATCCGCATTCATAACCCTTTCTTCTTTCGTTCCGTCTCTATTTTTTACGCGTTTCATGAAGATAGTTGAATCATCATTTAGCTCTGACATCAAATATCTCGGAGTAAATTCAGTCATGTCATTTGGATGATATGCTATTAAATCATATCCCTTAGCGAGCTTGTATTTTCCAGGTTTGAGATTATATCTAATTTGGTGCTGAGCCATAAAGCTAAATAGGTTCGGGTCAGTATTTCCTTCCTTGAACTTTCTAATAGCTTCTTTATATCTGTCACTAAAGTCAAGAGTATCTGAGTAATCATAATTTTTCTTAAGCATTTTTAAGAATTCTTGGTTTCCTTGTTCTCTACTTCTTTTATGTCCTTGCTCTGTTTGTGCTGGTTGTTGTTGTGCAGGGTTTTGAACTGCTGGTTGCTGTGCTGGTTGTGGAGGTGGTTGTTGTGCTGGTTGTGGAGGTGGTTGTTGTGTTGGTTGTTGTACTGGTTGTGGAGGTGGTTGTTGTGTTGGTTGTTGTGTTGGTTTTGGTGCATGCCTGTGTCTGTGTCCATGTGACGATGTAAATGTTTTAGGTAGTCCTGGTGCAGGTGCTTCTCTTGGAGGGTTTGGTGGTATATAAGTTCCACTAGCTAGTATATAAGTTCCACCAGCTGGTATATAAGTTCCACCAGCTGGCACATATGTTCCATCTGCAGCATAATGTCCTACCTGACTTTTCGTTCTTAAGAAAGCATTTACTAGGTCTTTTTTGGTCTGTTGTAACTCTTTTTCTTGACTTTCCACAACAGTTGCTCTAACGGCGTCATAGGCACTTTGAACTGCCTGTCTCGTTGCTGCATCTGTTATTTTCGTCATATTTTGTGCTACTTCTTTTAACTCTTTGTCGAAACCTTCAGACTTCAGTTTCTTTCCAGATGAGAAGTCGTTCACTAGTTTCACCTTACTATGAAGAGCTTCGAAGGCATTCTTAAAGTCAGCATTCATTAAAGCTTCATTTGAACTGTCTTCATCCGCTTGTATTTTTGTCCTTATTGACCCTATAAGTTGGGCTGCTTTAGCGTTGGCTTGGGCATCTAACCAGTCATTATTAGCTTTTATATATTCTGTGCTTTTCATTGCCTTTTGCATGGCTGCGTCGTTATTTTGACTTTCTTGTGCTAAGTTTTCATACTGTACGGTTTGGTTTTGCAACTGTAAAAGTTTTTCTGCCTTTACATTTGCTTCAACTTCTTTTTTATACTCATCGCTATCCATATATGTCTTCAGGGCTTTTTGTTTTATTTCTTCATCTTTCAGTAGTTTATATTGAGTAGTATGGTTTTTCAAATTTATAACATCTTGTTCCATTTTTGCTACTTCTGCTGCTTTTTCTGACACTTTTTTCGCATATTCCTCTGTACTTAGTTCTTTCAGTTGTTCTTCTTTCTTCTTTTTCTCTACGTTTAACTCATTGAGTTTCTTTGTGTGTCTGTCATATTCTAGTTTCTTTTCGTTTTCACTTATTTGTTTCTGTATGTCTATGTTTGACTTTTTGACATCTGTTATTTGATTTTTGAGTGAACTCAAATTCATTTGACTTTGAGGGTTATAAGCTGTTCCGTCTGCAGCTCCACCATAGCCTGCCATTTTCGCTAAAAGTGCCGCTCTTAAACCCCCACTCTGTGCACCAATAACTCGGTTTAAAAGCATAGGGTTGCTTGACATTTGTTGCAACATAGTGGGGTCATTCATCATTTGTTGTTGCAACTGTTGTTGTGGTGTCAGTTTTACTATTGGATGTTTCAATGCTCCCTTCCTCTTACGTATATTCTTACGTAGCTTACGTGGCATTTTAAGTGAAGTTAAAAAGCGGTTTTTGACAGATGTTTATATGACACTTTTTGTTCAGCACAAAAAACTACTCGGTCAAAGTGTTGTCAGTTTTGTAAAATAACCGTCCTATCTCATTCTATAATGGGAAAAAGGCTTCTCAAAGTATACTTCCTTGGAACGCCTGTAACTTTTCCTGTAGCGACGATAGACCCTTACTTGTCCGGACAAAGTTATACTATTTTGAGTGCTCTACAAAAAAGTCAACGGCGACGACTCTTAAAAACCGTTGTGTAAAAAGTTTTACCGTTGGACAAAAAAGTATATATAGAAAACAAAAAACGTTTATAGTTCATTCAATATTTGAGATGGAACGGTTTTCCAACGGTAACTATTAAATAAAATAAAAAAATAGAGGGGGTTACCGTTGACGAAAACGGTTTATTTTAAACTTTTCTATGAGTAGTCCGAAAAAAAAGTTCATTTTTCATAATGGAAGGAAGAAAAAGTGTCGCAAACAATTCAAACATTAACAATTCTCAACCGCTAACCAAAGCCAAAGCCCCACAACCTCCAAGAACCGGCACAGCGGTTAGAATAACCGCCAAAAGGTCTAACAGCGAATTAAGAGAAATTCTTCAACAAATTTGCTCTAAATATCTCAAAGACGCCGAAGAAAACACACAACCAGACGCTACATACAATACTCAGTTCTGTGAAGTTCTGAACAAAGCAATTACTAGTTCAATTGAACTTACTAAGACAATTCCAAGTCCAATTGAGCTTAGCGATGTCTTAGTTCAGTATTTTCCAACATTTACTAAGCTTATAATGTTGAGAACTTTATACCAAGTTCGTCAAAATCTTCCTCGTTCCATCCAACGGTCATTCGACAAGAGAATTGCCGAATTTCAAGTCTTTAGTTACGGATATGACAAAGATGAATACGAGGACGAGTTCGGAGACAACTGTACAAAATGGTTTGAATGTTATACGACAACACAATTTGAATTCGACTTTCTCGAATTCAACGCAGCAACCATTCATATCATTGCTCTTTACCTTTCCGAAGAACAACAAGACCTCGCAGATGGAGATGTTGTTACTGTCGTCATGAAAACTCCTGAACAATTCGGAAAAAAGAAGTCTCTAATTGCCAAATTTGTTCCAGGACATCAGCTTTTCCAACGCACAGAAGTCTTCTGTATTCCTGGAACTAAGTTCTTTGTCAGGAGCGAACTCAAAGAAAGATATAATGTGTCATTCAATTACACATTATATAATGTTTTCGACCCAGAAGAAGGCTTCTTCCCAGAAGCAATGGAGGAAGAAGAAGAGGAGGAGGAAATACAAGACTCAATCCAAGAAGAGTCCTCCGAATTCACACCAGAAGACTAACAATTTCCCGAATAAAAACTTCATTTATACTAAACATCTTCAGGGCTAGAAGGGGCGCAGCCCCTGGAAGCCCCACTACCTTTTTTTTTTTTTTTTTTTTTTTTGATGATGATCTCTTTTTTGATTTTTAGTAGAAATTCAAAAATTGTTTAACAAAATAATGATGATATCCTCTTTATCTTGAGATATACTGCATGTTTTCGCGTTCTGAACGCAGAAAACGAATTTTTGGGATGCAGAGATTCTTAATCACGTGGAAAAATTAGGCTTTAATAAGAAAATAGGCGATTTACTTAGTAACAAAGTATATAGAAGCATAAAAATGAGAAGCTATTTCTTCATACGAAAGTAAAAAATAACGTATATTTATAGTGCGCATACCTATGCTGAGACTATGCGCTCTCTAATATTTTACTCGACTCTCTGGCCGGTAAATACCCAGAGAGTTACACCACAATTAACTCATGCTGAAGTTTTCCGGATTTCCTTCCTCAATTGAGAGAAATCCGGAGAACTTCAGCAAAAACGAATTACAAACTAGTTCTCTCGCTCTCCCTGGACCCAAGAATATACACGCATTACACTAGAACAAAGTTCTTCCGAAGTCTCTCATTCAATGAGAGGCCTCGGAAGAACTTTTGCTCTTTTCGAGTAAATTTACATTTTTCGTTCAATAGAAAGTCAGAAACTACAAGCGCATTACCTTGGAGTAGAATTCCTCCGAAGCCTTTCATTGAATGGGAGACTTCGGAAGGACTCTACTCAAATTGTAGTTTCTTTAGCCTTTTGTAGACCAGGGAGCCGTAGTGAGATGCTTTAGGGCCAAGCTCTTCCGAAGTCTCTCATGCAATGAGAGGCCTCGGAAGAACTTGGCCCTATTCTAGTAATTACGAAGTATCTGACTTTTTAGGAGCGAGAGAGTGGTAGTATAAGTGAATGCGTGCAATAACGTATAACTAATATCGCTAGAAGCATAATAATTATGCGGCCTAGCTACTATACCCTAGCAACTAGGCTGCATAATTACTGTGCTTCTGATTTGCAGAGCTCTTATGGAAGACCAAGCGGAGGTCTGATGCTGAAACCACTTGCTGGTATGGATGAAGCAGCACTATGATTGGTCAGAACAAAGGCTGCACATCATACCAGCAAGGGGATGGTTGAGCGTGACTCCAGCTATGGTCTTCCATGCAGAAATGACACTTTTGCGTTTTTGGCGGGAAAGTTTTGAGCAGTTGCTTTGAGCTAGCCCATTCTTACTACCATTACAACACACTCATACTGCAAGTATAGAATTTAACTTTTTTAGGCAAAATTTCAAATTTCTAATTTATTCAAATTCATATATTATAATAACAAGACTTTTTTTCTTCATCATTCATGTATAATATATATGACACTATTAGATATATATTTAGAATAGTATTATTATAAAATTTTTAAAATTTGTTTGAAATGAGCATAAACCATGAAACAAATCATATGTTATCTATTGATCTTAATCAGAGCAAATCAACTTCTATCTTAAAATCTGCAATTTCTTGCTACTTTTTTTTTCATTTCTTTTATTTTGTTTCCAAATAGCCTCTCAATTGGATTAAAATATACTACTATTGAAATATATTTATAATATTCATCAATATTTCATTCGACGATTATTGGGGATTGGGATTGATCCCAGCCCACCTCTCAATTCCATTCAAAATTTGAATATGGGCTGGGCTGGGATTATCCCTAATAATCGTTATCGTTTATCTTCAAATGGCAATAATAGCTAAAAGATATAAATAGATATACTATGTGTTAAAATTAATATACCTCTCCCAAGCAATGAAAAAAAAACTTGGGCTAAAAATGTCACTTTTGGGCCGCCCAGGGCTAAATTTTTTTTTCGTTTTACATCCTTATACAAGATTTTGTTTCGTTAAAAATCGATCTTCATTCTTAATTTTTGCTATGAATATGTTGCACTTGCATGACCAAAGAGAGATTCTTTTATTAAGACAAGATTCTCTGTTATATTTTCTATTTATTAAAGAAATTTCATAGAAATAATGGTATTTATCGCTAATAGTTCGAATGGATAGTCATGTAGAATTTACATCTCATGATGAATCTTTCAACTCAATTTTATTATTCATTTTCTTTTGTAGAATAATGCTTTCAACTATTCAAATTAAGTAGCATGAGACCAGTCATTCGCCTCGCTGATGCAAATATATTGTAACTTTTATTGCAAAACTAAAAGTTATCAATTTCATCACAAATATCATAATTACATTGTAGCATCACAATGTTACAAAAATTGATTCATTTTATGGGCCAATAGAATCTCAGAATACCATGCATATCGATGATAAATTTTTATTCAAATGTGTTGTATAAAAATGAGGCATGGAATCATGCTTGACCTCTGTAACTCTTAGTTTTACTGTTCATATAATCATTGTTTTTCGTATAACTCCTCACAAAAACATGGCAGGACAAATGAGAAGAAGAATCGTAAAAAAATTAAATTAAATTTTATCATTATTTACTGCTATATGCCAGACACTATAGGAAAGGATTCGTGTTGTAAAATTTTCAAAAAAAGATATTGAAAAATCAGACTTTTTGATTTTTTGTGTCAAAAAAAGCGATCATGGAAAACGCGGAGTTATTGAAAGATATTCACCCCTCTTTCCATGTCGCAGCAACAAAAGTTTATGTCAATGAAGTTGTTCAGAAAGTAAATACTCATGGAGTTCTTCAAGAAAGAATTTTAATTGTTACAAATTCCGGTATTTTCTTACTTCAACAGCGAACATTCCCACGATCATACTATGTGTCAAGAATTATTCCATTTTCTCAACTAGTTTTGATTATCGTCGATGAATCAACAATGCAATTTTATTGTGGAGGCGTAACAATGAAATTACGTCATCCAAAACATGTACAAATCGCATCTATAGTCTACTCAGTAAGGGTTGGTTTATTCGGTGACAAACCAAGACCGGCAAAAATTGAAATCGCCGAATCAGTTCAAGATTCATTTGGAACTAGCGACTTTGATTTTGAAAGCGACTCAATTCTTGGTGATAGTTTTTTGTCTTTGGCCTTAACTGTTCCAGCTAAAAAATATCATGCCGATAGTGTGGCAGAATATAGAGAAATGCTAAAGCGCTCTCAAGCCGCGATTTACATTACTCCCGAAATAGCATCATCTGCCTATGCCATGGCGTTTGGATGGGCGATTTCATTACATCCAGAATTACTTCAGCTCGAATTCGATGACGTTTCAATATTCTCGTTTGCCACAATACTCAATACTATTTTGGATCAGAGCACATCCCTTCATAGCCTTATTTTTAAGAATGTTTCGTTTGTCGGTGAATTTCAACTTCAGCCATCATTTAAAAACAATATGGCGCAGACAATGGAGTTGACTTTCTCACAATGCGATCTAACTTCCAACAACTTTTTCCAATTTTTCGAAAAATTGACAAAATTTAGATTCGATTTTTCAGCTCTTACGTTCGATTCATGCACATTTACGATAACTACATTTGATAGCATAATGAAATGCATCACTTCGAACAAATCTTTCGAGAATTTATGCAAATTATATTTTTCAAAGCTTTCGAACATTTCTGGATTTGTCCACACTACAATTCTTTCACTTTTCGGTTCATCCTTCATGAAGAACTCGAAAACGATCAAATCTTTGTCATTTGTCGGCTGCGGACTGAATGTGAACCAAATTGTTGCAGGAATCTTCAGGAATTCGACACCGATAGAGGAACTGAACCTCTCAGGCAACAAAATACTCATGAACGCTGAGATCGAGTGCATTACAAATCTCCATAACGTCACTTCCATTGATTTCTCCGAATGCCAGTTCACTGGAAGCTCTCTACATACAGTTTTATCGTTACTCAGCAAGCCAATTGCTTCCCACATCAACTTTTTCGGACTTGATAAAATAATTCTCGACGAAGGTGGCTGGAATCTCTTCTTTAACAAGATAAAGAAGTTTTCCATATCATGCAGACGCTTGTCATTCGTAGGAAACCCCATGAATTATCAACAAGCAACGGCTTTTTGCGAATTCATCTCAAAACAGAAGAGTTTAAAGGAAATTTCTATCTCAACAGCCGGTTTTGACGGACCAACGGTTGAACTCTTCGCCAATTGCTTCAAATCGATGGAATTAGATCGTATCGATTTGATAAACGAAGAAAATGCACAAGAACATGCTTCAATTAATCCTATAATCAAAGCAGTAACGTGTGTCAAAGTTCTACACCTTGAAAATCAAGGTGGAGGAGAAAATTTGTTGAATGAAGTCCAAGACTTAGCCCAACACGGAAAATTGATTGACTTATGCTGCGATGGATGCAATCCTCAATCCATCAACTCCATTTACAATTTCTGCCAAAATCTGATGACGACGAGATTATCTTCAGCGAATTGGCCGGAAAGGGACATCAAAAACATCATCCTCAAGTTGCAAATCAAAGAACGAGGAGCGAACAAACAGAAAATGGAAGGACTCAAAACTGAATTTATTAAGAGAATGGGAAGCAAAAAGAAGATTGTTCCGCTTCCGTCGACACCTGTAACAAATAAGAGAAACGTTGATGCAACTTTATCCAAGAGAGACGTAAATATTGAAAATATAATCAAAGAATGCTTGAATATCAAATCAGGATCATTGAAAGAACCTCTTATTGATGCTTTGACAGAGATTAATAATATAATCTCTATTGAATATCTCTACGCTGACAACTAATTTCAAATTTAGCTTGTATTATTTATTATTTTAACTTAATTATGTATTTATAAACATTTTATTTGAAAAACATAATCATATAATGAGAGTCATATTCTCTTTTTTTTTAATCATGAGAACTATAAATCATACAAGAATCAATCGAGTTAACTGTGTTGAGAGAAATGAACAATTCAAGGGAGAACTATCCTTGATGATTTCAATAGTTTTCTCATACCACCATATGGTATTTTCATTAATCTGAGTCAGAGGAAATACAGTTAATTACATATGAGTTTACTTTTCATTAGCATCACTACCTCAATGAATTAACTAAAATTGTCAGCGTATGGAGCATCACTACCTCAATGTTTTGCTTTCCATTCATTAACGGTAATAGTCAAAATTCTGGTTAATCAGAATCGTTTAATTTATTGTGAGAAAAGAATCCGAAAATTCTCAAAAAAAAATTTATGACTTTTAAAGGTGCACTTACGCCTCTATGAAATAGTCCTCAATTCAGATATTTAAGGTTGATTTTCAATGACGCTTCACGCCAGCTGTCAGATGGGCGTAAGTGGAGCCTTAAAAGTTCAGAAAGTGCAAATCTATGAATCTTTTAATTTATGTTGGTAAATTTAGGGGTGCACTTATCATTTTCTGACATGCTATGAAAAAAATTAATATATCTTTATTTTAATAGCAGAAAAGTATAGCAATAATATTAGATACTATATAATGATGTATATTTACTTTCTCCTGACCAAAATATTAACTTTTGACCGTAGACTATTGGGATATAAAGCTTGCGTGTCAAAAAATTGAGAGAATGTCAGAAAAATGTAAATGCATCCTTAAAATAAAACCTTTAATTGAATTTTAATGCCTAATCAAGACATTCAATTAACAATAGTGAATTGCAAAGTATCTGTAAATATTACATCGATCTATATAATGCATTATATCTGTTAAAAACGGAAAATGAAGAAGAATTAAACAAGATTTACAATATGATCAAAACAGAATTGATTGATTCAAAGAAATATCTTCCAAAACATTATAAATGATATTTTTTGATATCATTCTGTATAATAATGGCTATGCAAAGTCTTATTCATCTCTTGCCAAACCAATATCTGATGAATATAATGTCAAAGTGGTCAGCAATGTCTCAAAGATTTCAAACTATTATTACCTTGTGCTCTGATAAAAAAAATTTGAATCAACTAGCGAAGTTGTATTTTTAGGTAAAATTACTGATTAGATTACTTGGCTCCAATAGATATTAGATAATTTCTTGTCATACCTTTTGCCACTGAGAGTGCTGTGCTTCCTCCTATAGTCTTTGCTTCTTTATTAGCTCCAACAGAGATAAGATATTGAACAACTTCAAGACAACCAAATCTTGATGCATAAATGAGTGGAGTATATCCATCATTATCCTTTGCTTCTTTATCAGCTCCAACAGAGATAAGATATTGAACAACTTCAAGATGACCAAGTATTGATGCAATAATGAGTGGAGTCCATCCAGCATTATCCTTTGCTTCTTTATTAGCTCCAACAAAGATAAGATATTTAACAACTTCAAGATGACCATTAGCTGATGCATGAATGAGTGGAGTATATCCAAAATGATCCTTTGCTTCTTTATCACAGCCACATTCAATTAGTGATTTGATAAGATTAAGATTTCCTTTTTCACTTGCAATATGAAGTACATTCTTTTTATACTCTGTTGTCTTTTGCCAAAGTCCTTCTTTACAAGCCTTTGAAATCATTTCGCGATTGCCTTTAGAAGAAAGCTCTTCAAAGAATTGGTAAACACTATCAAAATTATGAGATTTCTTAAGGGATGAGATTTTAGTTAAAAGATCTCGTGAATGATTGATGTTATCTTGTGTTCGATTCTGTTCAATTTGAAATGATTGGATTTGTTCTTGAGATTTTGTGATTTCCTCTATAGGATTACGCGTTTCATTATTATTTACCTCTAAAAAATCAATGATACCATCAAATATTGTGAATTTCAAGTATTCTTTGACTGATTTAAGAACCGAAAAGACGTCGTCGATGTTTTGGATAGTAACATTCGCATTTCGTGTGCATTTGTATAATTTGTTGGCGCTGATAGTTGGTGATGATTGTTTGAGAAGAGAAACGAACTGAGTTGTAGTTAATTTGGAATATCTCATGATTTTTTTGATGTCTTCGAGCTCGAATGTATCAAAAAGATTTTCATTTCGAATGTAATCATCGATGTGAGCACCAATGTATTTGAAATCCAGAGTAAGACCTCGACTCATTATAAAAATTTTGTAACTTTACAAAAAATCTGAAAAATATCAGAAATCGAAATTTTGCTCACAATTAAAGAATATAACTTAAAGTGGCTGTATCCGGTTGATAAATTCAAAATCTGGGAAAGGTCCCTCCGAAATAAAAATTCTTCTAAAAAATATCGGGCTTCCAGAGGAAGAACTAGCCCCTCCACCATATGGCCATCTCCGTCCATGAACGGCACAAGTCAAAACAACCTAATATGAAATTTGCCCTATATTAGTTTTTCCTTTTTCTTTCTTTTCCACCTTTTTCCTTTTATTTTCCTCTCCCCATTCTGCTTTTTTCTTTATTTGTTTATTACTTCTTGATATTATTTTTTTTTTTTCAAAAACTTTACAATCATACTGAAAAATATTACACTTTTTACAGTAGATAAAAATTTATTATTGAATTTGTTATCGATTGATCATGTTTTATTTGAAATTAATTTATAATCCAGATTTAGAGAAGTAATAAAAGATCGAAATTATTATGTATGCTTCCTTTAGAAGCATCAGTCGAAAGGTTATTCCACTTTTTAAAGTATAAGTTTATCTAACGACTGGCGTGAAGCATATTGTAAAACAGAGTTGAAGTAACTTTACTTCTCAATTGATTGTGTGAAAATGTGATATTTTCTGTCTGAAAACGTTATTAAAAAACCACTATGTAATAACAGATGCAGCTATTATAGCGTTTTACTATTAAAACAAGGATTTATTGATTTTGTAAGAGCTTGTCACCCTTAAAAAAATTTAGATAAATTAACAAACAATTTTTTTTATTTCTTGATATGTTGAATGTATTGTTCAGCTGTTCCATCAGGGTTTTCAAGCTGCCAATCGATCATCTGTTTGATTAAGTCTCCCATTTGAGGGCCAGGTTTAATTCCGAGTGCCTGGGCGAGTTGGTTTCCTCTCATCAAAGGTTTCATCAAATAAGCTTCTCCAAGATTTTCCTTTGCGATGAAAGGCTTCAAATTATTAATAAATGAAATAATCAAGTTCGGTTCGAACAACAAATACTGGACAAGAGGCCACATAGGTCCTACTTCCATAACGAAATGTCCGACATCAACTCTGTTTAGGTCTGAAAATGACTTCACTTTTTCAGCACCATTCAAAATTTTGACACAAGCCGAAACCACTTCTGCCTGGTATTTCATTCCTCTCAACACAGCGAACTCTACAGCAGGGACCATCTGGTTCTTCCTCACTGTGTCTTTTATCTTTGGAGCGGTCATCAATGGCTGGAAAATGCTCGCCAAAAGAACTGTTGACTTTTCTTCTGTTAAATTGCGTTCTGAGAGCTTAACACGCTTTGCAGCTTCAAATGGATCAATGGAGAATGACTTGGATGGGTCAAATACCGATTGGAACATGCCGGCTTCTGCAATCCAAGTGACATACTTGTATGCAAGCGGTCCTTCAAGGGCTTTCGTAATTTCGAGGTTAGCACGTTCGGCTGTGACCTTTACTTCGTATTCTGAGCGAGCACTGGCTGCTGAAGGAATGATATCTTCATGAAGATTGAAATCATAACGGGCTCCGAATCTGAAAATACGGAGGATGCGTAGAGGATCGTCTAAGAAGCTCTGACCAGCAGGTTGTGGAGTCCTAAGTAAGCGGTTTTCAAGATCTGGAATTCCATTTGTAAAATCTTCGACTTTGAATGTATTTATGTTAAGAAAAATAGAGTTAATTGTAACATCTCGCCTTATTGCATCTTGTTGGGGTGTTCCAACGGTGATAACTGGAATTCTTGAGTCAGTAGAATAATCATCCCAGCGAAGACCGCAAATATCAATGTAAAACTCAGGAGTTAAGTATACTTTAGCAGATCCAATGTGAGCGGATTGATCTGGATTTGCCATAACAACTAAATCCGGAAATTCAGCTTTTGATGCTACTTTTTTGATTTTATTCGCAAAAGTGAGACCATCAGTTCCCTCTATGCTGAAATCTATATCATCCGAATGAGAGCCAAGGAGTTTGTCTCTTACCCATCCACCAACTATTCTAGCAATTACAGTTTGTGGGGCAAAAGACTCACATGTCTTCTTTATTAGTTCAATTACTTGCTTTTCGAAAGGAGTTAGGAGTTCGCCCTTCTCGAGAAGCTCTTTGTTGGTCTGAACAATCGACATCTTAAAAAATTATTTTTTTATGATCAAAAATTTTTGAAAATTCTAAAAAATTTAGAGTCAAATCCTTGGAATTTAACCAAATAACGGGGTAATGCCTTTGCTCAAAGTCATTTACAGACCTACTGAAAGACATTACAACACACGTATATACCGTAACCCAATTTTTTCATGAAATTTTGAACTTGAAGATGGGCGCACTGTATATGTTAACGAGAAGATGAGATCTTGCTACGGTAACAATAGGCTAACTTCATATGATATTTACATTTATGCTGTGTTTTTTGATGGCACAAATGAAATTCCTTTTAATAAAAATTCTGGCCATGTCAAACTTACTGATGGAAGAACCGCTTTAGTTGGTAGCGACAACTATTTGAGAATCATTTACCGGTTTTTGAATGTGGAATCCTTTATTAATATGATTTAATAGATGTTAAAACGATATTTATGTGTCTATTGTGAGAAGTAAAAGAAAACTTTGATTGAGGAAGATTGTTAGGAACATGTGATTTAAATGAATTTATCATTTTTCATGCATATATTGCCTGACCCATTGATTAACCAACAAGAAATTGCATTTTACAGATAATATATGAAATATTTATAAACAAAACATAGCATTAGGAAACAAATTAAGGAAGTGAATAAATTTGTGCAACCTTATGGAAGAGATCACTTGAATATTTCTTTTGGATGAATTTGGATTCTTGGCGACTTTGTTGGCTGAGCATATTCTTGATCTCTTTTAAGCACTCACTTAAAACAGGTTCAGAGTACCTAGTGTAGCCTTCAAGCCTAGGTGTCCATGGTTCTTGATGCCAAGCAATACGTGATGTATATATTGCTGCAGCTGCCATTAAGGAAAAGTTCTTTCCGAAAAAGAATTCGGAGGTTTGGCATAATTCAAGGATGTAGCGCGAATAAAGAAGGAAATCTTGTTCTTCATCTTCTATACGCTGGAAAATAGTTAAAAAGAAAAGTCCTGTTCCGAAAATTGTACCGTATTTGGTAGCATTACTAACTTCGATCTCAGCAGCGAACAATTCCTCTTTAGAAAACCTGTTCTTAGTAAGGCATACAAGATCATCAGATTGAGCTGGGAAAATGTCTTCAATTTTTGAAGATATTAAAAATGTAGCGCAAGCATAGAGCATTAACTTATTCTTAGGAACTTGTATGGACGTAAGGACTTGATCAAATAAACCTATAAATCTATAAATTGTATTTGTCGTAAGACCGAGCTTATAATGAATTAAAATCATTTTATCGATCATTATATTTCTATCACGGAACGTAATTTCATTTTGATTAAATTTGATGGTAGATCTCGATTTCTCTTTCTCTCTTAAAGTTTTATAAATAATATGCTGATATGGACAAACATCCAAAGCGTCCGATGGATCGCCTATTTGACACGTCATAAATCTGAAATCAAATTCTCCACTGTAGTCATCATTGTCATCAATTAATGCTTGAGAAGTTGAACGTAAAATCGATGGTTTCACAGATGCTTCTTGATTTGCATGTCTCCTTGGCTTTACTGCGCTGTACTCTGCAATGCTATTCCTCCTCACACCGAGTGGCTGCCTTGCTGGACGCGACATCGCAATGAAAATAATGATGTACGTTTAAAAAATTACAGTTGAATTTTGATGGATTTTAGAATTCAATTTTATTCCTATCTATATGAATAAGCACATGCAGAGCTCTGATTATTTCCTTCGAAATGGCAAGACTACACTTGAAAATTTTCCGATTGAGAAAATCATCGGTATAATTAAAAATCAACTGATGAGAATAGAATACTTATTATATATTGTTAAAAGTCGATGCAAAATTATACTTTTGAAGGCCAAAATGGTCTCAATATTTATCTGCAAAATTAATTTGTTTTTTTTACCAAAACTGTTATTCAGATCTAATGTTTTAGCATATATGTATCTCTATCACTATGATAATATTATCTCAAATAAAACAAATCAATTTTGATAAAATATTTTTTGATTAATTATAATAAGTATATAGATTTAAAACAACAATAACATAGTATCATTTGATTTGAGATCAATATTAACTTTCAAGTGCTGGTTTCCATATTTGGGCTAAATTAGTTGTAACCAAGGGCAAAACTAGATGGAGATATTGTAGGATTCGAAGAACTTTCTTCTTTAGGAACATAATATCCTGAAATGAAAATAGATGTTGAACCAGCAACGCGGAAACCAACTTCTGTCTTTGTTAATATTAAAATATTTAAATCTGCTGAAGTTTCAACTGAATTTAGCTGACATAATGGAACTTCTCTGTTACCTAATTTGAAAAATAATCTAGCAAGTGAGGATTCATTAGCATCGGGGTTAATAACAGCACGAGTAAGCTTCAAATCATCTTCTAATGTTGTTATATATTTCATTCCGCTTTTGATTTCTAAGCCGAAGAAACATAGCTGTGACATCAATATGATGAAATAGGAAACCAATGCCTTGAATCAATATTCGGATAACTAATAAACATACGCATCATTGTATTAAGACTTTTCCATGCATTGAGTTAATATATGTTATTATTAATTACACTAAATTCTTAATTTGACAATGAATTGTTTTAAGTTTTGTGCCATATTCTTTAAATCTTAATGGATTTTGTAGTATATTGAAAAATTTATTTTGATAAAATTTTTTTCATGTTCAACATCTCTTTATCTCAGCAATTCAACTTTGTACAGAACCACTCTTTTCTATTCTTCGACTTTCTAATTATGGCGTAATATTCGTATTTTTAAACGTCCACCAAGATTTTCGTTTAGGTTTTTTATTTGAAAATGGATGAGATTGACTTAAGTTCTTGCTCCTTTTCAGAGGACATGGATGAAAATATACCTGATGATACAATAGATGCTCCTGATATTCAAAATCTTCAACTTGAAAACTCCAGACTTCAAGAAATTAATTCACAACTTCAAACATCAATCGAAGGCCTTAAAAATCAATTGAAAGAGGCTTTAGATGCAGCAAATGCAACAAAAGGCATATTAAATCAACTCCAAACACTTAAATCACAATTAAACGAAGCGAATGAAAAAAACTCCCAATTAACTCAACAAGTTAACGACTTAGCATCTGATGGAAACAATGCTTCCAACAGAAATGTTCAGCAAATTGCTGCCCTTGAAAGTGAAAGAGATCAAATTAACGAAGAATTACGTGTTATGACAGAGCAAAGAAATAAACTCAGAGCTGATAAGCAGTCACTTAAAATGGAAATCGATGAAAAATCTCTTGTTATCGAAGAGCTTTATGGAAAAGTTGAAAAATCTAAGCTTTTCAAGAAGAAGATGCAAGCAAAAACAACTGAATTTGCAAATGCGATTACTACACTGCAAGGCCAATTGGAATCTACTCAGCTTGAACTTCAGAAAGAGCAAAATGAAAAAACTACTTTGAATCAAGACATTGATTCACTTAAGATTAAGATCAATGAACAAAATCAAACAATTAATGACCTTAACAACCAAATTGCTACACTTAAAGAACATTTAGAAACTAAAGACAACGCTTTCTCTCAAATTGAAGAACAGTTCAACTCACAGTGTACTGAAATAGAAGACATGACAAAAGAGAAACAGAGAATCATTATTCTTCTTCAGAAACAGTCATCTGCTCTTGCAACTTCAGAGTATAAAATTGAATCTCTTCAGAAGGAGATCCAAATGATTAATAACAAGAACAATCAAAAAGCAACACGCACAGTTGCAAAGAATACCGAGATTCTTGAACTCAAAATCCCATTTGAAGGTGAAATTGGCGACAATTGCGAAAGAATAGTCAAACAGATTCAATTCCAGCCAATGCAAAGAGTTCAAATGATCTTGAATGAAGCTGGAACCTATATTAACGAACTTGAATGCGAATTGAAAGAATTAAAGAATTCTCATGATCAAATTCTCAAAGAAGTTCAAAACTATCAAGATACAGCAGAGACATGGCGCCAAATTGTTGCCGCTGTCTCCGAAAACCTCAGGCAACTTGCAAAATGCAATGAAAATGAAGAATTCACAGAATTTATGACACAAAAATGTGGCGAAATCGATCCACTTATCAGAGAACGTGTCATGGGCGATCAGCATTTCATTTCTAATGATTTCTTCTTCTCAGACGATATCACAAAGAAGAAGACAGAGATCCAAACAATTGCAGATCAATCAGATACAACATTTGCAATTCTAACATCACAGTTCCTTTCAAATGTATACCTTAGACAACAAATTGCATCAAAGAACGTAATTCAGGCACAACCCGCAACTGATTCTACTTCTCAAGTCAATGTTGTTGAAAGATCCCTTCCAACAAATGAAGTTTCTGCTGCAGTTTCAACATTTGATGATGGACAAATGACATTCCAAGAATTGAAAGACAAACTCCAAAAGACGACAAAGACAGCTAATCAACTCAAAGCCCAGCTTCGTAAATCTCAGAATGCCCAAATGGAGTTACAAAAGGCAGATAATGATCAGAAGCAACAAATTGCACAGTTACAGATCCAAAGAGATGACTTGAAGAGTCAGCTTGATGTCGCAAATATGAAACTTCAAGTTGCACAAACAACAAAGATGACAGATGAGAATTCTCCTACTGTCACAAAAGAAATCATTGAAAAGATGAAAGAAACAGATGAAAAGAGGAAACTAGATATGAAGAAACTTGAAGATGAGTTAAGATTGAAAACAGAAGAATGCAATACTCTTTCAATGCTATTAAAGAAGACCCAGGTTGAGAACACAACATCAATTGTTACTAAGAACAAACAGATCAAACGCCAAGAAGAAAGTTTCAGAAGAGAAATTGAAACACTTAATGATCAAATTGCATCAATAGCTCAAGAATCAGAAGAAAAGAGGAAGAGACAACGCAGGAAAGAGAAGCAGCTTGAACAACAACATCAAGCTATTATTAAAGAAATGCAACAATCATTTGATTCATCAAAACAAGTTCTCAACCAAACAATCGAGCAACTTAAGGAGAAAGCTCAAACAGCTAATGAAACAACACAGAAAGTTCTTCAGCAGATGTCGCAAATTGAACAACAGAATCAACAGCTCAAGAATGAAAATACTCAACTCAACACAGCTGTCAAAAAGATTCAATCAGAGATGAATACTCTCAAGAATCAAGTTAATAAAGAAAAGCAGCAACTTAATGGCCAACTTGCTGCACAAACAATGGTGTTTGAAGCTAAGATGCAAAAGGCATCTAAAGAAGCAAATGCTAATGCTGAAAAACGCGTAAATAACTTCCTTGAGATCATCAAAGAATCACTCGGATCAATGTATGATTTCGATGAAGATTTTGATGAAGAATCTCTCCACCAACTTGTTGAAATGGTCAAAAATGACTTAGATAAACTGAACTACTTCCAAACAGAGGCAACTAAGTTTACATCTGATAAGAAATGAACTTACCATCTCTACTATTATGTTTGATTTATCCGATTTTTTTAATTGTAAATTCATAAATTTATTATCTGATAAACGATTTTTAGGAAATTTTGTAATATTTCAGCCTAAATGAAGAAAACAGAAGAATGAGTTTAAGTTTTTTTAAGGCTGCACTTACGCCCATCTGACTGTAATTCAAATTTTTGACAACCGGCGTGAAGCGCCATTGAAATTTAACCTTAAACATATGAATTAAAGGCCCTGTCATAGGGGTGTAAGTACACCCTTAAATTAAGGATGTAAAACGAAAAAAAAATTTAGCCCTGGGCGGCCCAAAAGTGACATTTTTAGCCCAAGTTTTTTTTTTCATTGCTTGGGAGAGGTATATTAATTTTAACACATAGTATATCTATTTATATCTTTTAGCTATTATTGCCATTTGAAGATAAACGATAACGATTATTAGGGATAATCCCAGCCCAGCCCATATTCAAATTTTGAATGGAATTGAGAGGTGGGCTGGGATCAATCCCAATCCCCAATAATCGTCGAATGAAATATTGATGAATATTATAAATATATTTCAATAGTAGTATATTTTAATCCAATTGAGAGGCTATTTGGAAACAAAATAAAAGAAATGAAAAAAAAGTAGCAAGAAATTGCAGATTTTAAGATAGAAGTTGATTTGCTCTGATTAAGATCAATAGATAACATATGATTTGTTTCATGGTTTATGCTCATTTCAAACAAATTTTAAAAATTTTATAATAATACTATTCTAAATATATATCTAATAGTGTCATATATATTATACATGAATGATGAAGAAAAAAAGTCTTGTTATTATAATATATGAATTTGAATAAATTAGAAATTTGAAATTTTGCCTAAAAAAGTTAAATTCTATACTTGCAGTATGAGTGTGTTGTAATGGTAGTAAGAATGGGCTAGCTCAAAGCAACTGCTCAAAACTTTCCCGCCAAAAACGCAAAAGTGTCATTTCTGCATGGAAGACCATAGCTGGAGTCACGCTCAACCATCCCCTTGCTGGTATGATGTGCAACCTTTGTTCTAACCAATCATAGTGCTGCTTCATCCATATCAGCAAGTGGTTTCAGCATCAGACCTCCGCTTGGTCTTCCATAAGAGCCCTGCAAATCAGAAGCACAGTAATTATGCAGCCTAGTTGCTAGGGTATAGTAGCTAGGCCGCATAATTATTGTGCTTCTAGCGATATTAGTTATACGTTATTGCACGCATTCACTTATACTACCACTCTCTCGCTCCTAAAAAGTCAGATACTTCGTAATTACTAGAATAGGGCCAAGTTCTTCCGAGGCCTCTCATTGCATGAGAGACTTCGGAAGAGCTTGGCCCTAAAGCATCTCACTACGGCTCCCTGGTCTACAAAAGGCTAAAGAAACTACAATTTGAGTAGAGTCCTTCCGAAGTCTCCCATTCAATGAGAGGCTCGGAGGAATTCTACTCCAAGGTAATGCGCTTGTAGTTTCTGACTTCTATTGAACGAAAAATGTAAATTTACTCGAAAAGAGCAAAAGTTCTTCCGAGGCCTCTCATTGAATGAGAGACTTCGGAAGAACTTTGTTCTAGTGTAATGCGTGTATATTCTTGGGTCCAGGGAGAGCGAGAGAACTAGTTTGTAATTCGTTTTTGCTGAAGTTCTCCGGATTTCTCTCAATTGAGGAAGGAAATCCGGAAAACTTCAGCATGAGTTAATTGTGGTGTAACTCTCTGGGTATTTACCGGCCAGAGAGCGAGTAAAATATTAGAGAGCGCATAGTCTCAGCATAGGTATGCGCACTATAAATATACGTTATTTTTTACTTTCGTATGAAGAAATAGCTTCTCATTTTTATGCTTCTATTGTTGCATGCTAAGTTCGGTCAACGATAGAAATTGAGTGGAAATTAATCGTCGAGGAAGTACGATTATGTAAAGTAAAAAATGTTGTGGGATTTTTAATATTATATATTATTTTATAATAAAATTTTTTTGAGTCATTTTAAGAAGCACATATAATTTTTTGAATTTAAAAATTAAAGTAGTGTCAAACGTATTTATCACTTAATTTAATACTCAGATTTCTTAAAATTAATTAAAAAAAGGTTTTCTGAGAACTTTTGAGAATGGTTTTCAAATTCCATTATTGAAAATATATAGGTATTGTATGAAATTCAAACTCTATATTTATTAAAATTCTAAATTTTTAATAAAATAACTTTTCAGAGGAATATGATTTTGAATGGTTGATTAATAAGTATAAAAATGTCTACGATTTTAAGGAGGGAATTGTTCCTTATGAGGTATACATCATAACTATATACCTCATAAGGAACAATTCCCTCTTGATAGCTGGGAAACTTTCTCTGAATAACTTATCATTTGGAGAAAGTTTCCCAGCTATCTATTAGAAACTAAAGGCTGTGAGGCACTAATATATAATCAGTGCCTCATAGCCTTTAGTTTCTTATTAAAAACGAGAAAACTTGTTCGAAATGATAAACAATTTCGAACAAGTTTTCTCGTTTTAAGGAGGGAATTGTTCCTTATGAGGTATACATCATAACTATATACCTCATAAGGAACAATTCCCTCTTGATATCCTGGATATTTTTGAATATATTTTTTTAATTAAAGTTCTCAAAAGTATTATCAAAAGTGATTTTTTAAAATATCTCCAATTAATTAACTAATTAAAAGTATTATATTTTTAAAATTAAATAGTTTTTCAATTTTTTTGAAGGAATTGAGATACTTCCCACGACAATAAAATTGAGAGGTTTACATTATGACTGATCTTAGCATGCAACACTATATACTTTGTTACTAAGTAAATCGCCTATTTTCTTATTAAGGATACCCTTACGTGTCAGATTTTTTGCGCATACGAAGAAGTCATGCTAGACATGAGCTATAAACCTGAAATTTTAGCAACATATTTAAAACTTTTTAAACTACAATACACTTTAATATTCAAGAACAAAAATATTCTTTTTAGAAATTACATAATTATTTTATGTGAAATCTATATAAAAACATATTTTGCGAGCGTAACTTTTTTCTTTATAAGCACCTTATATGACTGATAAACTGTGAAGGCACATAATTGTTAATTCATAGAGTTGATATGTTTCCAAAATTGAGAGGAAATTTGAAAATTGAATACCCTTTCAATTCAATTTTCAAAAGATATCAGCTCCTTCAATAATTGAAGGACGATTTTGATCATTTGCTCTTAAAACAAGTATGCCATGGAGAAAAAAGTTACGCTCGCAAATCTGAAATATAACTATCATATAAAAAAATTAAATTTCTAATTTTTTACTCTATAGATATTATTGGCCACTTGTGTAATGCATAAAAGTTTATGTCATATGCATACATTTGGAAGTATGGGAGACGAGGGAAATTACTTCTATGAGGCACTAGGATTTTTAAAAATTTCTCTATCGGACTCACCATTCAATTTCTCGAAAATTAAAAAAAATCAATAATAGCTAAAATGTATTATGCATAACAAATTTTAATGTTACACGGTATTTTTTGAACTTCATGACATGAATTTTCTTTATATTATTTTTTTTTTGGATTTTCTATGATTTATGCGATAGGCTGGAACAACATTGTAAGTGCAATGATATCATTTATAGAGAAATCTAAAACTTCAGCATTCAGAACTCGCAACCACAAAAATATTCATTTGCTAAGTAAGTAAAGTTGATTAAGTTCGACACTTAGCTTTTATACGTAAAACCAAGTGTGTATTGTTATTTCTTGTTAAATTATTGAGAAAAAAATAAATTGTAAGAGAAACGATACTGATTATTGAAATAATATTGAGGGTAGCTGCAGATTTCTTCATTAACATGCCGGAAATTTGTTAATCTTGGTTTTCTATCATAAAATCTGTCGAAGAATCTAAAAACGGAGATATGAAATAGAGATCATGTAAATCTAGAGTATCCTGTCAGAAAAATAGACTAAGCATGTAACCCTTTTTTGGTCATAAACACTTTTTACCACTTAGTCATACAGATGATCATTAAATTTAAACGAGCACTTTTTGTCAGAATTTATTCTTTTACAAAGACAGAAGATTTTAGTATTATTTAATATTAGTGCTGTAGCAAAATTCAAAAAACGGTGAAAATTCAGTGAATTTTTGAATTCACATTTTTTTTCGACATTTTTCTTGATATATCCATGCACATTAAGAACACAGCTTTGATACGCTTAAAAAAGCATATTTCATATGAAATTGTTAAAGAAATAAACAATTTATATAAAAATTGCACTTATGGGCAGTTTAGATATATAATTTATATATAACATATATACAAATCCATAGACAAAGTGCAATAACTACAATGTTGTAGAAAATTACAGCAGAAATACTGACTTTTTGAAGGATAATAAGAATTCTTCTAAATGTTGTATTTTTATAATTTGATTGATTTTTTTTACTATTTCATTAATCTTTTATGAATAATAATCATTTTTAATATATGTGCTATTAAAATTTCAAATTTTGACTAATATATCTAAGTTATCTGAACGAAACATTTAGAAAATATCATACTTACATTGAAATAGCAAGTAGAGCATATTAATAGCAAGTTTCTTGGCTTTATATCTATCATCTATTGTTGTTTGATCAAACAAAATTCACTCTATTTATATGGTGTCAATTAATTAAAACAATTTTTAATAGTTATTTATTTAGTGCGAATAAGTGCAAACTCATAAATGAATAACTTAATAGTAGAAATGAATTATCTGATATAAATCTCACATTTTGTCCATCAGAAATACTTTAATTGCATACGCATAACTATTAGTAATACGTCTGGAGTGTCAATTAATAACAATCCCACAACAAGTAAAATTCAGATTTTATTAAACTTATTTTTTCCTAAAAGTTTTCTCAAATTACTATATATACATATGTGGATAAAATAATAGTAACATTGTAAAAAATTAGATAATTTTTTTTA